CCCTTCCCCTATCCCCCCGCTACCCCCCTGCCCAGGGCTCCTTCCTCTGGCATGTACTGTTGGCCAAAAGGTTGGAGGCAGGGAAAGAAAACGGGCGATGCGGGTTGAAATCCGCCCTTTTAAATGGCCACGTTTGCCGGGTATTTTAATTGTTGTTGTCGTTAACGAGGAAAAATGTTAGCAGATGATGTAGAAAATCCGACCCTGTATTTTAGTGCATTAGCGAACAATTCGGTTTCATGGTTTGCCCCGTGCATCTGGCTGAGCGGTGGGGTTTAATCGTTGTCGGTAAACTGGGCTGTGAACGAGAAAACGTTGTTTGTTCCTCCTCCTCCTTCGGGTTTTCTTATTGAAATCACGGCGGTGATGAGACGGGCTGTTGGAGAACGAGGGGAGAGTTTCTGGAAACTGATGTCTGTCCGTCAGGGCGGTTTGGGTTTCGTTGGCTTTGCGCGCTGCCTTCACTTGGAATTGAACTGCTTGGGAGCCGGTCCCCAAATCGTGCAAATATTTATGGCGTGTTTTCACTCGATTTTCTTCTCCCGTCTTTCTCCGGACGGCCGAAGGATTGGGGAAGGTGGCACAGGGCAGTTGGCAAAGGAAGTTCTCGGTGTGTAAAGCGACTGGTTTGCTTTCGGATCCTGTGTAGGGAGGTGCTGCTGGAGTAAAACCGGCGGGGCGGAACGGGTGACCGGCTGCTGCCTGCCCTGAGGGGTGCCACGGCTGTCCAGCCGCCCGGAATTTGGGTACCCCGGCCGCCACCGGAGCGGGGTGCTGAATAGAGCCGCTCACCTCTCTAACCCTAATGGCTGCACAGCCAGCGAGCTCAAAGTTTCATTTCCCCCTCCCTGTCTGCGAAGCCTTTGTCACGTCAAATTAGATGTGCAAGGGATAAATCTTAAGAGATGCTCTTTCCAAGTCGACATGATAATTGGCTCTTTTATTAGTAATCTCAAGAGTTCGTTTAACTCCTGTTGTATCTATTAGCCTTCCCAGAGCTATTAATGTCACAAGTGATCTATCCAAAACGGAGAGAGCCCCCCGCTCGGTCGGACTGCGGGGTAGGGTGGAGGAGACGAGGGAAGGCGACC